AATAGGCTTCTTCGTCTCATAACCTTAAACACTGTGTATAAATTTAAAGTCAATCGGATATTAATTTTGGCCTGTAGAGCGTCCACGAGATTTTTTGAAGTGATCAAGGGCCATAACTCTGGCAGTAATTATCGGAAATCGCTGAAAATCGATAGGCTTCTTCGTCTCATGACCTTAAACACTGTGTATAAATTTAAAGTCAATCGGATATTAACTTTGGCCTTTAGAGCGTCCACAAGATTTTTTGAAGTGATCAAGGGCCATAACTCTGGCAGTATTATTGGAAATCGCTGAAAATCAATAGGCTTCTTCAGCTCATGACCTTAAACACTGTGTATAAATTTGAAGTCAATTGGATATTAACTTTGACCTCTAGAGCATCCACAAGATTTTTTGAAGTGATCAAGGGCCATAACTCTGGCAGTAATTATCGGAAATCACTGAAAATCAATAGGCTTCTTTGCTTCATGACCTTAAACACTGTGTATAAATTTAAAGTCAATCGGATATTAACTTTAGCCTCTAGAGTGACCACAAGATTTTTTGAAGTGATCAAGGGCCATAACTCTGGCAGTAATTATCGGAAATCGCTGAAATCAATAGGCTTCTTCGTTTCATGGCCTTAAACACTGTATATAAATTTAAAGTCAATCGGATATTAACTTTAGCCTCTAGAGCGTCCACAAGCAATTGTGGACGCCGGAACGCCGGACGGACGGACGGGGGCGACGACAATATACGACCACATTTCAATGTGGGCGTATAAAAATCAGAAGTATGGTAAAACGAATCATCATTCAATTTAAAATAATTTGTATTCAATGTATTTACACGGAATTATCAAACAATGTTATAAATATTTACAAATGACATTAATTTTTTTTATAGATGCAGTATGTAAGATTTAGATAAAGAGCTGACTATTCTTGCTATAATGGTTCCAAAATAGACAATTCAAAATTAATAAATTGAAAATTTCATTCAAATTACTTTATTCTGAGCGACGTTATCACTGTTTGATGTTTTGACATAGATAGATTGTTTATTATCGTAGCCACGTTAATCGAGACACAATGGCGATCATATTTTAATCCATTTACATCTGGGCCATCCAATGATCTAGACTAGAGAGTTGATTATAGGCTTGTCATGTGAATAAATATCTAAATAATAATTTATGTAACATTTGAAGCCAAAATAAAGATAGGTTGCCAGGCAACGAAACATTACGCCCACAGCAGCTATGTCGTCTGGGCAGTCAACAAGAGTTGTCGCAAATTTTTACTTTTTTCGGTAATGAAACGTTTATAATACATTAAAATCTGATTAAGAGTAACAAATCATTAAGTAATTTATCAGAAAACCATTAGAATTTATTTGGATTTTATAAAGTTCTGCCCCATGCTAACGTTTAGTATACGAAACTTTTAACATCATGGACTTAGCTGTTCAAGTCATAAAGATTCATTAAAGATAGGTTGCCAGGCAACAAAACATACGCCCACAGCAGCTTAATCGTCCGAGCGGTCGTCAAGGGTTGTCGCATATTTATTCCTTTGTAGGTAATCGGGGGCCTTTACAAGACAGTTCCATACAGATCAGATTATAAATTTTGTCGTTTGAGGGTTTACAAGGTTCTACAAACTGAAACAAGGGTCTCAACTCTGGAAGTAATCTACAGAAATTGTTGAAATTTGACAGGCTTTTCCGTTTTACTTATTTAAATAATGCATATAAATTTCATACCATCCCCATGGGCACCAACTGTGCACCTTTGCTTGCTGATCTGTTTCTCTATTCCTACGACTAATAAACGATTAGTCGTAAAAACTAATAAACGATCAGTCAGACTTTTAATTTCACTTATCGATATATCGATGACGTTTTATCACTTAATAATCCTAAATTTAGTGATAATGTAGAATTCATATATCCTGATGAGCTCGAAATTAAAAACACCACTGACAGTGACAATTACGCTTCCTACTTGGATCTGCGTCTCGATTTTGACAATTGCCATAAACTGAGTGTTAAATTGTACGATAAACGTGATGACTGACTTTCCGATTGTTAACTTTCCATTTATTAGTAGTAACATTCCAATATCACCAGCTTATGGAGTGTTTGTGTCTCAGCTAATTCGTTAGGCAGAGCTTGTTCCTTTTATTCTGATTTTTTAAGTAGATCGAGGCATTTGTCATCTAAGCTTCAACTACAAGGATACTTGCGCACTCAACTTATTAAAACCTTTAAAAAGTTTTATGGCCGTCATATTGATTTGATTGGTAAATATAACGTGTCTCTTTCGGCTATTATTCTAGATATATTTAATTGACACGTACACTATTACTATCTCCCTGATAATGTATACTACATCGTTAACACAGTTCATCGCGTGCATTTTGCATACCGATAGTTCATTGGCCAATCACGCTATTTTACCGACATTTCGCCTAATAGTTTGGATGCAGCTATGGCGGGTGTGGCGCCAGGCAGGGTAAGCTTACTCTTCCGGACACCTGTTACCACTGTTTGTCGTGTATTTTGTACACGGTGAGCAGTCCATTTGCTGACTACACTATTTTGCCTGATTACACTATTTTGCCTATACCGTTTGTTTTGGGAACACAACCGGTGTAGGCTGTCATTGATAGTCCATTGGCCAATCACACTATTTTACCGAGATTTCGCCTAATAGTTTGGATGCAGCTATGGCGCCAGACAGGGTAAGCTTACTCTTCCGGACACCTGTTACCACTGTTTGTTGTGTATTTTGTACACAAGGAGCAGTCCATTTCCTGATAACACTATTTTGCTTGAATACACTATTTTGCCTACACGTAATAAACGGAAATTGCTGAAATTCAATAGGATTCTCCGTTACACTAATCCTAATAATGCATATAAATTTCACAAAGATCGAATGATAACTTTTTGCGTTGGATCGTTCACATTGTTCAATAAAGTGAAACAAGGGGCATAACTCTAGACATAATAAACAGTGTTCACAAGGATCAATAAAGTGAAACAAGGGCCATAACTCTAGACGTAATAAACGGAAATTGCCGAAATTCAATAGGCTTCTTCATTTCAGTAATCTAAATAATGCACATAAATTTCAGAAAGATCGGATGATAACATTTGGCGTTAGAGCGTTCACAAGGTTCAACAAAGTGAAACAAGGGCCATAACTCTAGACGTAATAAACAGAAATTGCTGAAATTTAATAGGCTTCTTCCTTTCACTAATTTAAATAATGCATGTAACTTTTGACGTGATAGCGTGCACAAGGATCAATAAAGTGAAACAAGGGCCATAACTCTAGACGTAATAAACAGAAATTGTTGAAATTCAATAGGCTTCTTCGTTTCACACACTTAAATATTGCATATAAATTTCACAAAGATCGTATGTTAACTTTTGGCATTAGAGCGCTCACAAGGTTCAACAAAGTGAAACAAGGGCCATAACTCTCGAGGTAATAAATGGAAATTATTGAAATTAAATAGGCTTCTTCAACTCACTACTGTAAACAGCATATCAATTTTAATAGGATTCTCCATTACACTAATCCTAATAATGCATATAAATTTCACAAAGATCGAATGATTACTTTTTGCGTCGGAGCGTTCACATGGTTCAATAAAGTGAAACAAGGTGCATAACTCTAGACGTAATAAACAGAAATTGCTGAAATTCAATAGGCTTCTTCGTTTCACCAATTTAAATAATGCATGTAAATTTCAGAAAGATCGGATGATAACTTTTGGAGTTAGAGTGTTCACAATTTTAAAACAATTGGATGATAACTTTTGGCGTTAGAGCGTTCACAAGAAATTGTGGACGACGGACGGACGGGGGCGACGGCAATTTACGTCCACATTTCAATGTGGGCGTATAAAAAGGGCCATAACTCTAGACATAATAAATGGAAATTATTGAAATTATATAGGCTTCTTCATCTCACTAATGTAAACAACATATATCAATTTTAAAACAATTGGATGATAACTTTTGACGTTAAAGCGTTCAAAAGAAATTGTGGACGATGGAAGGACGGACGGGGGCGACGGCAATATACGTCCACATTTCAATGTGGGTGTATAAAAATCAATATACTTGTTGGTCTCAAGACTTTAAACTCTGTGTATCAATCTGAAGTCAATCGGATGATAACTTTAGCCTCTAGAGCGTCACAAGATTTTTCAAAGTGATCAAGGGCCATAACTTTGGCAGTAAGTAATTATCCGAAATCATTGAAAATCAATATGATTCTTCATCTCATTGCTGTGTATAAACACTGTGTATAAATTTAAAGTCAATCGGATATTAACTTTAGCCTCTAGAGCATCCACAAGATTTTCTGAAGTGATCAAGGGCCATGACTCTGACAGTAATTATCGAAAATCGTTGAAAATCAATAGGATTCTTCGTCTCAATTATTGTGTATAAATTTAAAGTCAATCGGATATTAACTTTGATCTCTAGAGTGTCAACAAGATTTTTTGAAGTGATCAAGGGCCATAACTCTGGCAGTAATTATTGAAAATCGTTGAAAATCAATAGGCTTCTTCGTCTCATGACCTTAAACATTGTGTATAAATTTAAAGTCAATCGGATATTAACTTTAACCTATAGAGCGTCCACAATGACCGACGCAACAACAATATATGACCACATTTCAATGTGGGCGTATAAAAACCTGTAATACTAATAGGCAGATTTACCTCTTACATAATGCATATTTAATGTAAATAATCTCAAATGTTCATAAAAAATGAACACACTTAAATCCACATTACCTAAATATTCAAACCAAGTAAAATAGTTATTAATTCTCACCCACAAATTTCTCAACGAGCTCTATATATGTTTCATTTGGAAAGTAAACAGAATTTAAATTATGAAATTTGTACAGGAATATCTGCATATTACTAAAAGATAGGTTGCCAGGCAATGAAACATACGCCCACAGCAGCTAAATCATCCTAGCGGTCAACAAGGGTTGTCACATATTTATTCCTTTGTAGGTAATTGGGGGCCTTTACAAGACAGTTCCATACAGATCAGATTATAAAATTTTGTCGTTTGAGGATTTACAAGGTTCTACAAACTGAAACAAGGGTCTCAACTCTGGAAGTAATCTACAGAAATTGCTGAAATTTGACAGGCTTTTTCGTTTTACTTATTTAAATAATGCATATAAATTTCATACAGATCACATGATCACTTTTGTCATTCAAACGTTCACAAGCGCCATAACTCTAGAAATTATTGACGGAAATTGCTGAAATTCAATAGACCTCTGTTTCACAAATTTAAATGATGCATATAAATTTCATACATATCGGATGATGACTTTCATCAATCGAGCATTAACAAGGTTTAACAAAGTAAAACAAGGGCCATAACTCTAGAAGTAATTATTGTAAATTGATGAAATTCAATAGGCCTCGTGGTTTCACTAATTTAAATAATGCATATAAATTTCACAAAGATCCGTTGATAACTTTTGGCGTTGGAGCGTTCACAACTTAAATGGCACATTAGAGGTTAGAGCGTTCACAAAGTGCAACAAGGGCCATAACTTTAGAAGTAATAAACAGAAATTGCTGAAATTCAATAGGATTCTTTTCTTAACTAATTTAAATGACACATGTAAAATTCATACAGATCGTCAGTTAACTTCAGAGGTTAGAGCATTCACAAAGTGTAAAAAAGTGAAACAAGGGCCATAACTCTAGAAGTAATAAATCGAAATTGCTGAAATTCAATAGGATTCTTCTCTTGACTAATTTAAATGACACATGTAAATTTCATACAGATCATTAGAGCGTTCCCATGGTGCAACAAAGTGAAACAAGGGCCATAACTCTTAGAAGTAATTGACGGAAATTCAATAGGCGTCTTCGTTTCACTAATTTAAATCATGCATATCAATTTCACAAAGATTGGGTGATAATTTTTGGAGTTACAGCATTCACAAGGGTCAATAAAGTGAAACAACGGCCATAACTAATTTAAATAATGCATATAAATTTCAGAAAGATTGGATGATCACTTTTGGTGTAAGAGCGTTCACAAGGATCAATAAAGTGAAACAAGGGCCATAACTCTAGATGTAATAAACGGAAATTCTTGAAATTCAATAGGATTCTTCTCTTTACTAATTTAAATGACCAAGCAAATTTCATACAGATCGGCAGATAACTTTTGATGTTAGAGCGTTCACAAGGTTCAATAAAGTGAAATAAGGGCCATAATTCTAGATGTAGTTAACAGAAATTGTTGAAATTCAATAGGCTTCTTCATTTCACTAATTTAAATAATGCATATAAATTTCACAAACATCGGATAACTTTTGGCGTTAGAGCGTTCACATGGTTCAATAAAGTGAAACAAGGGCCATAACTCTGGACGTAATATACGGAAATTGCTGAAATTCAATAGGCTTCTTCGTTTCACTAACTTAAATATTGCATATAAATTTCACAAAGATCGGATGTTAACTTTTGGTATTAGAGCGTTCACAAAATTCAACAAAGTGAAACAAGGGCCATAGCTCTAGACGTAATAAATGGAAATTATTGAATACATTTCAATGTGGGCGTATAATAAAAAGTAGAAAACTGTTTAAAGAAAGTTATTTGGAATAATGCACAAAAAATGGTACTGGTAATGTGCCAATTGTACATTATTTGTACAAGATGGTAGAGAGAGAGAGGGAGAGAAATGGGGTTTAACGTCCTCTCGACACAAACTAGGTCATTTCGGGACTAACATATGGTTTAATTCTATTTCAATAATTCGATTGCGCGTAGGTGTCTTTAGCAGTGGGAGGAAACTGGAGGACCTGGAGAAAACGCACGAGGCTGGACAGGCGACACTACTCCTTGTCACGTACAACCGGGGATTCGAAACCACGCCAGTCGACTCAATGACAGACTTTATGATACAACGCGCGCACGCTAACCATTCAGCCATCCAACCCCCCATACAAGATGGCAGAAAATATTAGATGTGTCTGATATTTCATAGAAATGTACTACGTGTGTCTGTATTTTAAGGGCAAGAGGGAGACACTGCATAGAATATTGATACAACTCTTCAGCCAATGCTTTCACACAATATCAATATATTACTTAATATCTGGCTCTTGACCTTTATTAAACCACACATAATATTCAGTGTTTATCCAAATGATTTGGTCCTTAAATTTGGTACATTATAAAAATACTTATGACAGTTTGTGATTTTACTAAATTTACTCACAGAATGTGTGAGATTAGAGGCACTACAAAGGTGAACATAATTTATATCTTAATATGCCAATAACATGATTTTTGACATTTTGCATTGTCTGTGCTGTAACATTAATAACATACTGTTTATTATACTATAAATATCAGTGATGGTTTAACACAGTTAAAAATAAAATATAGTTTAAACAAAAATCTGTTTTAGTACATTCTAAATCTTTATCTAGCTTTTAGCAAATCAAGAAGCAATTCATGGTGGCTTGAATCTGTATGGTTAACACAAGTAGCATTTTAATTTCATAATTTGAGGCAACATTCTAAGATGAGAACAATCTAACAATTGCCTATTCTTTTAAAATGGCACTAAACTTTATATTTACAACATTAATTTAAAATACAAACAATTTTTCGTTTAATTTCTATTTTGTGTAGTTATGACATAAAGACACTGTTCAATATGGTTGCATGTTCTCAGCAACATATTTTAATTCATATGCAATTTTTAAAAAAAAAATAAGTTGATATGAAAATATTTACATGTTATCATGAACTAGTGTTACAAATGAGCTCCGTTACGATGTTTAGAACTACGATGAGAACTACTACCACAATTATCCAAATTATGCTTCTCTGTATCTCTATCTTGACGTTTTGATTTCAAATTTTTTTTATCTCGAGAATGAGATCTATGTTTTCTGTCTTTATGATCACGGCTGCACAATCTCTTATGGTCTCTACTATGGGATCTTGATCTTTTCTCCCTTTTTTCGCGCTCCCTAATTTGTCGCCTTTTCTCTCGCTCTAACTCTCGCATAAAATCATCTCCATTATGATCAGGTGAATGCCTAGATTGTTTTCTATGTTTATAGGAGGGTGAATGATGACGCGGAGGTGATCTACGAGGTGGTGACCGACGCGGAGGTGATCTTCTTGGAGGAGAATGTCTGGGTGATCTTCTTGGAGAAGGTCTGGGTGATCTTCGCCTTGGTGATGAGTGCCTGGGTGATCTGGAACGGGCCCCTTCTCTTCTACCATAATCAGGACTACAAAAGAATATCATTCATCATTTACTGATACAATTCATCAAGATCTGAATATTTAAGGAAAGCATTAACCACAGCAGAAAAGATAGGTTGCCAGGCAACGAAACATATGCCCACAGCAGCTAAATCCTTGTAGGAAATTGGGGGCCTTTACAAGACAGTTCCATAAATTTTGTCCTTTGAGGGTTTACAAGGTTCTACAAACTGAAACAAGGGTCTCAACTCTGGAAGTAATCTACAGAAATTGTTGAAATTTGACAGGCTTTTTGGTTTTACTAATTTAAATAATGCATATAAATTTAACCAGATCACACGAACACTTTTGTCATTCAAACGTTCACAAGGTTCACAATCGCCATTGAAGAAAATTGCTGAAATTCAACAGACCTCTTTTTCGCAAGTTAAAATTCATACATATCGGATGATAACTTTCATAAATCAAGCGTTCACAAGGTTCAATAAAGTGAAACAAAGCCAGAACTCTAGACGTAATAAACAGAAATAGCTGAAATTCAATAGGCTTCTTCATTTCACTAATTCAAATAATGCATATAAATATCAGAAAGATAGGATGATAACTTTTGGCGTTAAGAGCGTTCACAAGGTTAAACAACTTGAAACAAGGGCCATAACTCTAGAAGTAATAAACGGAAATTGCTGAAATTCAATAGGCTTCTTTGTTTCCCTAATTTAAATATTGCATATAAATTTCACAAAGATCAGATGTTAACTTTTGGCATTAGAGCGTTCACAAGGTTTAACAAAGGGAAACAAGGGCCATAACTCTAGATGTAATAAACAGAAATTATTGAAATTAAATAGGCTTCTTCATCTCACTATTAATGTAAAAAACATAAATCAATTTTTAAACAACTGGATGATAACTTTTGGCGTTGGCGCGTTCACAAGAAATTGTGGACGATGGACCGACAGACGGACGGACGGGGGCTACGGCAATATACATCCACATTTCCATGTGGGCGTATAAAAATAAAAAGAACGTAAGTTCGAAAGCTGCTATAATAACCAAAGATAGGTTGCCAGGCAACAAAATATACGCCCACAGCAGCTAAATTGTCCGAGCAGTCGACAAGGGTTGTCACATATTTATTCTTTTGTTGGTAATTAGGGGAATTTAATAGACAATTTCATAAATACAGATGACATTATAATTTTCGTCGTTTGAGGGTTCACAAGGTTCTAAAAACTTAAACAAGGGCCGTAACTCTGGAAGTAATCTACAGATATTGTTCATATTTGACAGGCTTTTTCGTTTTACTAATTCAAATAATGCATATAAATTTCATACAGATCGGATGATAACTTTTGTCGTTCGAATCTTCACAAAGTTCAACAAAGTAAATCAAGGGCCATAACTCTAGACGTAATTTGCTGACATTCACACTAGGGACCAGGGACCGGGTATCGTCCAGATCTTACGAAAAAAGGAAAGAAACTACGCTTATCATCTAGATTGCCGTCAAGAATGTGTTAAATGCCGTCAAGATTCATCAAAAACCGCCCAGTTTGTGCTACCGTGTAGATTAAGAAACACCGTTTACTTTTGACATCAATCATCTGTTTGCGACCGTCCAGTTTCTCAGGATGTTTTTTAGAAATGAACACTTCCATTTAGATTTGAAAGAGGTTTAGCTTTTAAACAAGGCCTTTATTTTCTCGGACGTTGTCAAGAAATGAACAGAGTGTTTAATTACTTGAGGCGTTTAGATTTTACGCCAAATTACCACTTTACCGAGAGCCGTCTAGTAACTTACGGGTGAGTAGTCATGCAATGCCATTTACTTTTCATGTCTTGTAATTAGTTTGCCCAGTGTCATCTAGAAAACTTAAGGCGTTTGTGTGAAATATTTAATTTCTATCTCCCAATTTTAGAAACTATGTTCAGATTTAGAATCTGAGTATAGTGTCTAAAATTCTCGAATGAATTGCATATTTGTTGAATATCATCCATTCTTCGGTATTGCCGACGTCCGTTGGGAAAAGTCGATTTACAATAAATTGACAATTTTCCCGGCGTAGATAAAACTCACATTTTATTTATTAGAAATTAACAAAACAATGGACTTATATCTTGTTACTTATAATCTTGCTTTCTGGGTTATTTACACGCTTCCGCAATTAACAACAAATGTATTTGTGAATTTACAAATTTAATGTGTGCAGTTCTCGTTTCCGCAACAAATGTAACGTCAATTTCGCCATTTATCTAGGTGTCTTTGGGGGACTATTTTCGCCAACATTTATTTTTGTATCCCCACCCCTTGGGAATGTTGAAGAAATACCGAAGGAGGGGAATTGTTAACAATTATTGTAGGTACAGTTTCCCCCATTCTAACGGGCAAGGACCGCAAATCGTATCTAGTTTATAATTAGTCTTGTCACAATAAAATCAAGTATTTCTAATCAAAAAAACAAAAGCAAAATAAGCAGGGTCATTATAATATTTAATATCCAAATACATGGGTGGTCCCTCTACAAACTATATAAACATAACATATATTGCACAGTTTACACAAAATATGAAATGAAATGAAATGAAATGGGGTTTAACGTCCTACTGTTCTGCTCCTAACCTGGGCTAATGAAGACGGGCATACGCCATACAGTGTGCTATGAGAGAAATTTTGCCCGGACTACACAAAATATAAAAACATATTTACACAAAAGTTCAAAATTTAATTGGCCATATCAGATTATATTCTTTGAATGACCTACTGCTATTGTTTTATAAATGACAAATTCCAGCCACGTCCTAGCTGTCTCTGTTCCATCCGAAACCATAGCCTATGCCGTCGCTTGGAATATACAGTCATAAATGTTCGTCATTACAATTTAGATTATATTCTTTGAAGGACCGCCTGCTTATATCACAAATTCTAGCCACCTGTCTCGGTTCCGTCTGAAACCATATCGCTCACAGACTTGTAGTTACACCACCATCGCATGGAATATACAACAGTAATAAATGTCTGTCGTTAGATTCTTTGAATGGCCGCTACCCCTAATCCAGACACATGTTTTTGTAGTGAAGTATATTCGTATTGTTATTTAATTGCCGTTATGATTTTAGATTTTTAGAATACTTCACCGATGTTTTTGTAATAAAGTATACTCGTATTGTTTGTTAATTGGCGTTATGATTTTAATGTTTAGACAACATTTAATTGACTTGATATGAAATCTGAATATAAATTATTAGATGGATAAATAAAAGGTATTTTACAAGTACATATTGACAGCTAATCACTCGCCAAAATACAATTGGATTGATATTATTTCGGTACCATAATTAATTTTAAAACTAATCGTTGATTTAATTTCCGCACACAAAATGGAACTAAATATAAGAATTCCGTATAAGAATCAATTTAGATTACCAAAATGTGAATCGAAACACATTGTGGTCAAAACTGTGTAATAAATTATAAAATAAATCATAAATGAATGGAAACTGTTGTAAGGCGGACACTGCATGCTTTCTTTTAACGTTGGGTTATTTGAGATGCCAGGTAGTCTGAACTACTGAAGATAACACGTGTCGAAAAAGTGACTATGTGCAGTTTTATTCTTTGATCTGTTATATCACAGGGCAATTCTGTTATAGTGACACCAACCTGCAGGAAAGGGACTATATTACAAGTTGAAAGTTTTGCATTGAGGATCGCTCGATTGTAGGCGATGTAATTTTAGTGAAATTGGTGTCGAGAATTGGCGTGTTCGAAAAATAAGCTTAAACGTTGGACACTATTCTGTTATAATGACACCAACCTGCAGGAAAGGGACTATATTACAAGTTGAAAGTTTTGCATTGAGGATCGCTCGATTGTAGGGGATGTAATTTTAGTGAAATTGGTGCCGAGAATTGGCGTGTTCGAAAAATAAGCTTAAACGTTGGACACTATTCATAATAAAATATTTATACCAGCGGCTACCAGGCAGGATACGCCCACATTTTCGAGAGATGGATAGAGAACAAGCTAAAAAGAAAGTGATTTTTCCTACAATCAAGGGCCATAATTTAGGAAATTACAATTCGATATGCGCAAATATCGAAAGGAACCAAGATCTTTGGGTTATAAACTTATATTTAAAATTTCAACAAAATCGGATAAAAATTGTGACCTCTATAGGGTCCACAACCTTGATATACCATATTTTTACGCTATTTGAGAACGAGGGGCGGCCATTTTGTCTGTCAGTTTTGGGCCGATTTTCACGAAATGCAACCTCAGCTGTCCTTAGGGTGTAACGGTGATATAATAATACATTTTTTAAAATTGGATAAACATTATGACCTCTATAGGGTCCACAAGCTAAAACGTGATTTTTCGTACAATCAGGGGCCATAATTCAGGAAGTTACGCTCCGATATGCGCAAATATCGAAAGGAACCGAGATCTTTGGGTTATAAACTTACATTTCAAGTTTCAACAAAATCGGATAAAAATTGTGACCTCTATAGGGTTCACAACCTTGATATACCATATTTTTACGCTATTTGAGAACGAACGGCGGCCATTTTGTCTGTCAATTTTGGGCCGATTTTCATGAAATTCGAACTCAGCCTTCCTTATGGTGTAACGGTGATATGATAATACGTTTTTTAAAACGGATAAAAATTATGACCTCTATAGGGTCCACAAGCTAAAAACGTGATTTTTCGTACAATCAGGGGCCATAATTCAGGAAGTTACGGTCCGATATGCACTAATATTGAAAGGAACCGAGATCTTTGGGTTATAAACTTACATTTCAAGTTTCAACAAAATCGGATAAAAATTGTGACCTCTATAGTGTCCACAACCTTGATATACCATATTTTTTACGCTATTTGAGAACGAACGGCGGCCATTTTGTCTGTCAATTTTGGGCCAATTTTCACGAAATTCGAACTCAGCCTTCCTTAGGGTGTAATGGTGATGTGATAATACGCTTTTTTTTAAATCGGATAAAAATTATGACCGCTATAGGGTCCACAA